TTTCCTGTCTAGTAAAAGTCTCTGCAAATAGTCTGTAGTGGGCTTGCTGCACATAGGTGAGCGTGCTGTCAAAAGCACACAGTGATGCCACCAGTTGAAGTCCACTGAGCCAGTCACCTTTTTGATAGTGTCTCCAAGGGAACCAAGGTAGCAGGAAGGCGACTGCACAGAGAGGGGCTCTGTACAAGATAGAAAGACAATGACTTAAGCTGCAATCAGCCTTAAAGTTGATGCAAAAATATCCCGTCAGGTTATTAAGGATGTTCCAGATCATTAAAATTATCTAGGGAGAAGGAACACACAGGATTATTTCAATGTAATTATAGTTGTCTTGAAAACCACTGCATGCATAAAATGAAAATGACCATTGATTTTTTTTTTACTTACATGAAATATCTAAAGTTGACCAGTACAAAAAAAATACACTGTTTTCAAGACCAGCTGAAATAGTAATAAGAACTGTAGCCAATACTACTCAAAAGCTAATGTGCATTCATTTTGGTCTAGGTATTGTACACACATTATTTAATCAAATCCTTAAAAACAATCCTATGCAATAGTGACTGTTATTTCTCCCAATTCACAGATGAGTAAATTGAGGGCCAAAGAAGTTATGCACCTTGCCTCACTATTAAACGGCAGAGTTGGTGCTCTCCCTCGGGAATGCACAGCCGTGCTTCTGTAGGGTGATAGCTTGTTTACACCAAGGCACAGTTTTAAACAATTTCATTAGGAAAGGTTAAAATAACGATATTGACCAACTCAAATGGATGTTGTATGCTGTCAGTAGTAAGTATGTAACATTATAAAATACAAGGGTTTTAGAGCCATGAACTATTAGTTTTGATCATCTAATTAGTAATGAATTGCAATACAATTGGTCAGTGCCATTGGCCTTTTCAAGGCAAATAACTTAATATTGATTGTTCCACAGAAGTACTTTTCCACATGATCAAGTCTTACCATTTAAATTCTAAAGCATTTACATTTTAAGTGTTTAATCCTTAAAACATCTTTGTCTTCAGAGAATCTTGGACATGGGTTGGTGAATTGTTTTGTTTGTTTGTGAGGATCACACCTAGAGCCACTGCATGCTAGGCAAGTACTCTCACTGAGCTACATCCCCAGCCCCAGAATTTTTCTTGATAACTCAGCTATGTAAAGAATCAGCTATTTGGTAAGTGGCAATAATACACAACTATGAGGAAGGAGAAGTTGTACTATGTGACTCTATCTCACCTGCGCTTGATAGAAGGCCATTTCTGAAATCTTGTGTAAGTGTAAAAACAGTTTCACATAGTAAAAGCTGAAGACAGAATTTAGCATTCCAGTCCCTAGTGTTATCATCAAGTATGCCCAAGCAGTAGGTTTGATATGAAAAAATGTCATTTTCCATGCAGAGGAGCTTTGCTTCCCTATATTAAAAAAAAAAAAAAAAAAGGTTAAAATCCATTCTTTCCATACAGTAGTTCATGGTTGGTAATATTCTACTGGACATTAGTTAATTTTAAAACCAATACCTTTAATTATATCACTAGATTTAATACTTTACTTAATTATCCACACTCACCCAACACTTTGAGATGTTGCCAGGAATTCTAGGTTGCATTGGCTAAGACTCTACTTACATTTTGAGCATCTTTTTAAAATTATAAAGTGGAATTTACCCAAAAGTTTGGATGTGCTTAGCTAGTAGTGGAGAGATATGTCTATGTATTATTATCCTCCAGAACAAGAACAATGCAGTGACAGCCTTTTGCTAAAGTCACAGAGAGAAAATAGATGCAAGCTCCTTAAGGGAAAGTTGTCCAGGGCCGGGGATTTAGCTCATTGGTGCCACCACCTGCCTTGCAAGTGCAAGGTCCCAAATTCAATCCTTGGTACCAAAAGAAAGAAAAGAAAAAGAGAGAGAAAGTTGTCCATTCAGAAGCTGCAATTTGAAGGTTTATTCTTGCTCTTCTGATAAACTCTATAGCTTTGACCCATAGGACATATCTAAGAGAAATCTAGAAATAATATATTCTAATTCTTGCTCTGATGTAGTTATTCCTCTCAAATCTAGCCTATCATCTTACCCTTTGATCTATACAACTAGAAAACAGGAGGAAAAGTTAGCCAACAGGAAGTAGGCCGAGATTCATCTTCCTTTTGATCTTGACTATAACTTTGAGAGAACACCATACCATGGTCATCCCAGTTCATCCCTGACTCATTTAGAATGTTTGGCCACATCTCCACAATCTTACTAGTCACATAACTTGGAGGATGTTACTTTGAGTAAGCCTTGGGCCTCTACTTTAACTTGAGGAATTCAGAAGCTGAATCAAGCAGGCAGTTCAGTCCATACTGTCTAACTTCTTAGGGGAAGGAAGGGCAGATTAGTAGGCGAGAACTAGTTGTGTTGTTCAAATGATCAAATTATCGGACCCAACAGCTTTCTTTTACCCTGAGAGACTCAAGAATGACTGATTCTATGAATGGTAGGCCTATAGAATTGTAAAAAATAATTATTAACCGCCATATGCATGGAAAGCACCAAGCATAAACTAAGTGAAAACTATTTGGCACCAGCTGGGGATGGGGATGTAGCTCAGTTGTAGAGTGCTTGCCTCCTAACAGTGGTGTGACAGAGGAGAGGGATTTGATGCTTCCCAAAAGGTACTCTTATTCCGTGGCTGCCTCCAAAGCCTTGTGTCCAGGCCAATGCTGTATCGGGTGGGTCATGACCTCCCCAGGAGACATTTACTTCAGCTGACGCAGGCTTCAGTTATCAGTTACAGACCTGTCACAGATGACTCCATCCTTTGCAGATCCGAGAGAAGCCCCTTTCCCGTCTATGACCACTGAGTACAACACAACCTGAAACAGGTGAGTCCGAGTCAGTTCCTGCACAGTTCCCCTTGGGCTGCACCACACAGTTCTAATAAAGCCTTTTCCAGATCACATATTCTTGCCTATTTGTGATTGTTGTCTGGGGTAGCATGTGCTGGTGCTATGCTGGCTGCAGCTGGAACTGCCAACACGGGATGGTTGGAGGTCAGAAAGCAAGGCTGGCAGCCAGAATGCAGCAGTGGAGCCGCCGTCTCCAGTGGGTGGAAGAGTTCCTAAGGCCTGTTGGTAGTTGTCTGCAACAAAGAGCAAGAAAGGCCTTTAAAAGAATTAATACCTGCTGGCACTCAAAGCCCAGGACTGCTAAAACTGAAAGACCTACACTTCGCCAGTTTGTGATTTCTGTATGAATTGAGCAAGAACTCTCAGCAATGGATAACATCTGGGAAGCACCTATGAGGACCTCTCCCCTTAGAGGCCCCTGAAAAAGAGAACAAACAAGGCTGACTGTTGACAGTAGGCTCAAGAATAAGCCTACTGGGGCCAGGAATTTAGTGCAGCACCATTCAGTGGTGCTGCACCTGCCTCACAAGTGCAAAGTTCTGAGTTCACTCCCCAATACTGGAAAAAAATACATGTCTGATGTGTATGTATTTATGTTCTTACAATATTTCTAGATTCTGATGCAATGATAAAGTACAAATCTCATTGTTTCATTATCATGCAGTTCTCAGACACTTGAAAAGCACAAGAACTACAGCACCACGTTGTCAGTCAATACTTTTGGCTTTGAAAAGTAATTTTCTGAGTTGAAGCTGGGAACTGCTGGTGAAGATCTCACTCTAGGGAGTTATTTTGGCATAAGTGAGAATGAAAAAAAATGAGAATGAAGACTGAGGCTAGAGGTTGCTTTATTACTCAGAAAGACAAAACAAGGCAATCAGTAGAACCAAAAGCCAAGATATAAATTCAGCCCACCAAAACCTAGGCACTTTTCTTTTTCTTCATTTCAGGCATGCCTAAAATAAGAAGCATACCACACTTTTTCTGAGCTAATCTATCATTAAGTCAGAAGGCAGATATTTATAACTCTGAATTTTTCTGTGTCATAAACTCCCTGAGTTGACTTCAACTTTTTTTCAAATAATTTAAGTACCCATTCTGTCTACTAATATAAAGTTTTTGTGTATTTATTTTTAATACTGAGGATCAGATATAGGGGTCCTCTGCCATGGAGCTGTATCCCCGGCCCTTTAAATTGTTTTGTTTTTATTTTGAGATCAGCTCTCACTAAGTTTCTCAGGCTGGCCTTGAATTATGATCCTCCTACCTCAGTCTCTCAAGCAGCTAGGATTACAGGCATGTACCACAGTACCTAGCAATATAAGGTTTTGATAATAATGGAAAAAAAACCTACAATATGAATCTCTCTTTGTTCATCTTGAAAAGTAACATCTTCCTTTCCTCTCCAAAGAGCTATCAATATTTTCCTTTAGATTACATTCAGCATAGTAAAGACTAACTTCAATGAGTATCAAAGTGGAAATCACCACTAACGATCTTTCAAAAGCCACTGCTGCTATCTAAAAACTCTATTTTCATGGTTTTACTTTAGCAACAATTGTTAAAATTTTTTAAAACACACATTTTGTCTTTAAAAGTAAGGACAAAGGACTTCTGAAGCTGGATCTTTACCACAAGTTTTCTACAGAAGAGTTTTAAAAGCAGCTGAATGGCATAATGATTAGGCTGGACAAGTAAGCTAAATACTGTTAAATTATTCTGTGAACACCCAAACCTCTTTCAGAGTCAACTTGGGAAGTTATTCATTAACCTACCACTAAACCAAATGGTATCAACATCACCGAAGAGGCTACTTATGATTGCTTCTATGCTTTCACTGAGTATACCCTAGAAAGAACGGAGACCTCTCTAAAGCAGGACTCACAGCACTCAAAGCTAAATTGCTTTTTCAGTGCAATTTTTGTTAAAGCTTTTCCAAGGGGAAAACATTTCTGAAAATAGCATCTTTAAAAAGAACCCACTAGCACACTCTCACTTTAGGCTTCCGGACTGTAGGTCCTTGGTACTTTCTGCTCTATGAAGGAATCTTCCTTAAGGGCTAAAGGGGTAAACTTCTGGCAACAACCGCTAAATGGACCAGCATAAGCATGAGGTTACAACGACTGAGCAAGGCTGGGGAGGTGAGAGGCTCTAGTATTTAGGATGAACTGCTCGCTCCTCCAAATTACACATTTTATTCATTTGTATTGAAAGCTAAGTTTGAGAATCTCTAATTCCTTTACAAACAAAATTTTTTTGGTACCGGAGATCTAACTCTGGACCTTGCTCTTGGAAGGCAGGAGGCGGAACCACTGAGCTAAATCCCTGGCCCTACAAATTCTTATTTTTAATCACAGTAATGTTTGCAGGTGGTTTTTAAAAAAATAAGATCATAGAGGGATTTATAATGAAGCTTAACTCACTTTCCCTTCAGCCAAACTCGTGAGTGCTTCCCATTTTAGTTCTGGTTGCTCTTCCTATCCGCGGGAAGGAGCTACTACTAAATTATTGATTTAAAGTACTATCTATAGATTCACTGCTGCCGTAGATGGTTTAACTAACCACTACTCTCCCTTCTTTCCAAATTTGACACTAACTTTGTTCTAGTCATTTAATACTGACCTCTACTTTAGACTCACACTGTTTTGTCCCTAAACGTCTCCCCTAAACGTCTCCTTTCAGCGACAGCAAATGGAGACCACTGACCTTCTGTCCCCTCTAAGTTTGTCCGTTAGGTCTCTGTAGAGGCGCGCGCCCCGCCTCTCCGTTGCAAACCCGCACTCCCGGGTGCTTATCTTTACTAACCTTTTAAAAATCGTATGCAAAATTGCCTGCGAGTCTCTCGGCCCCCAAAGTCGCCAATGTGGCTGGCGCCCGCCGTTTTAAAAACTATAATTCTCAGCGGCTCGAGGGCTCAAGGTCCGGGGGTAAACAGCCCAGGCACACAGCAGGGATTTTTCCGGCCCTGAACTTCTACCCCGACTCTGCGCGCATCACCTAGAGCAAAACTGGTATCCAGACACTAGAAGGGCTGGCGGGGCAGCGCACTTCGAAAGCCCCCAGGACGCCCCACAACCACCCCCCAACTGCTCAGGCCGAGATCCTCGCCGCTCGCGCCGGCACAGCTCGAGCCCTGAGTGGCTGGACGACGATAGCCCACCGCGAGCACCGCCGGTGTCGCCAAGACCCGGAACACCGGACGCGCTCGCAGAAAGACAGCGTCGGGGGGCGGGGAGGAGAAGGACGGGAGCGGCCCCGCGCCTTTTCCCCGCCTCCTTTGTTTGTTCTCGAGCCTTTATTGGCTGACGATCCTCGGGAC